ATAGATTAGACCCTTCTAATTCTAATTATAATAATTTGAACTCCTGTATTATTTTAAAAAAACATACTTGCATATATTATTAATTCTTTCTAGATTGATCAAAATTTGCCTAGATTACATAATATAAATATCATATGATCATCACCTGATTTTAATTAAATGTTATCGTAAAAATAATCGACGTTCACCCTACCCTTAAGATTAACATTTGCTCGCCACCCTTGAAGTTGAAGTCAGTCATGAGGATTAACTAGAGGATCATTTCTTTTTGTAATTAATTTTAATTGCCCATCTTCATTACTCAAAATTGTTTGTTCTCTTAGCTCCTTTGGAAATCCAAATCTACAAACCTGCTCACCAGTTCTTTTACTAGTTCGCAAACAATAAGATATACTACAATGTGTATGCTGCTGTAATTTATTTATTAATTCTATATAGTCTTGCAGGTCATCATTAAGATTCTTTAAAGATTTTTGGCACAGGTGTATAGCTGGTAAAGATGTATTTAGTTCAGAATTTATCGTTGTGACCAGAGAATCCAGATAACGCACTACTTCTTCTATTTTTTTAGATTATTACTTATTTCTTCCCACTCAATCGTAGGTGCTTTTCTTTGTTTGGCAATACTGTGCACATAGACACTGCCGCGGTGTTGTCACTCAAACTGATACTACCAATTTAACAATTTCCATTCAGGTATTAAAACTTTTCAAAAAAAAATTTAAATTGCTTTTCAAAAAACCACGCAGCAATATGTGGATTTTCTATAAGATTTTTATATCGATATTTAGAAGCTTCTTGGTCAGTTTCTCCTTTTATAGGATTCCCTTCATTGGGTATAAGTTTATGTAAATCAGGCCAGTGCATATTTGCAGTACTGAAGATAAAAAATACCATCCCTTCATGCCCTAGCTGCTTTATCATATCTGTTAACTTAGATCTATCTTGCATTCAGTATTGCCTTGTACTATGTAAATTTTCACTATATCTTATTACTTGGTCTGCTATATAGATGTCATTTTGCATTAATTCTAGAACCTCATTTATGGTAAGTTGTCCTTTTTCCAAGTTCTGTTTGACAAATATACACCCCTCTGATAATGCTCTCTATCTCATCAATAAATTTAATGCAAAATAACACTATCGTGGATATCGAGCAAATCGCCCATCTTTATATAACATTAAGTGTTTAAAGTATTCTGCAGGTTTTACTTCTCTTATTTGATGAGCACGAAGGTCAGCGCTACCTCTAGAAAATAATTTGGAGAATGCTTTCACCATATACCCAACAGTATTGAATTCATTTATAGGATTACATTTATTATGTGGCCAATCAATGCAGTCCCTGTGTGAATGGCCTTCTCGCATTCTATTAAGTGCTATATTAATCGCTCTATCTTCATTCTGCCCTAGTAATACAGAGGATGCAAAGATTTGTGAGATAAATTCATCATTTAATTTGTTTTTTTCAATTTGATTTATGTTAGTTTTATTTTGATCTTCATCTTCATTATTTGTGAGTCTTGGGAGCAGATCAATAATAGAACCATTATTAGGTAAGGACTCTAAGATCTCATTGGCTATAGTAATATCATGGTAGAATATATTATTTGCCTTCAGCCATTAAAGAGCCTGAATTATTTTTTCTCTACGAACGTTGAAATCACAAAATGTGGGCTTGTTGATAGAGTGACGCCGAACAATTAATATATCCAATGATGAAGGGTCACATGGAAGTCATGTTACAAATTCTTGCAAATCCTGTAAAAATTTTATAACATTTCCATGATATGCGTATTGCTCTCTATGCAAGTTATATACAGAAATTATAGAAAATACTTGTGTTATAAGCATTTCCTCAATGTTAGTTAAATCTTTAAGTTCTTGTGAAACCCCTCTTTTTACAATGCCAAGTAAAGCCTTTATTAGTTATTCTGATTAAATACATTTTTTTAAAAAAAATATAATAGCTAAATAATTCTAACTGTTTTATTATTATATTATTTGAACACAAATTTCATACCAGGATCTATATTATTCTCTACTGAGAATTTTTTTGGACTTGATTTTTCATTATAACATCGATGACACTCCTCTCTGCAGAGTTCTATAAAAGGAAATCTTTTATTACATGTCTTGCATTCCTTATTTTTAATCTTACTAATTGTATTTTGAAATTTTTTCAAAAGTTCGCTTGCAAGGTTATCTTCTGTTCTGTCATCCTCGATTATATTTAAAGAGTTTTGGGAAACATTAGAAGCACATTTTTTACACATATTTGACACATTTTGTAAATTCCTCTTATTTTATTGTTTTTCAGTCTCTAAAGCACACTTATTTTGCATGTTATTTGCATTTTTCAAATTTCTTTCAGCTTGTTGCTTGGCACTTTCACTAGCTTTTCTCTGATGATACCGATTGTGCATACCGGCAATCCTAGCTTCACATTCTTTTTTTGTCTCTTCAGCTCTTTTTTGTCTTTTCCTTTTGCTTTTATGCATTTGATCTGTTCCTTCACTGTTACTTCTCTCACTCTTATCATTAATCTTGGCTTCAGAAGAGATACTTTGAAGTCTCTGCAATATAGTTACATTGTATTATTGACTATGATAGATTTATTTTTTTTTTATAGCTTAGCTTACCATTATTTTATAGCAAATTATAGTAAGTAGAACTGTGCTTAGAAAAAAAAATAAAGAGAAATTCAGAATGATGGGCTAAAGTATCGAAAAATTAGTGAGTATATTTATCTTCTTCTAATATTTGATGCCGCAGTAATCATGACTAGATTGTAAATTTGCCCTATTTATATATAAGCTTTCCAAAACCAAAGTTTCATTTTACCCAATAACTTTGAATATAAAATTATATTTCTGGGGAAATCCCAAAAATTCCAAGCTGGAATGCATCTGAACTCTGGTTAGATGAGCTGAAATTGACAGCTAACTCTAACTCTAGCCCGACTATACTTGCTCACAAACCTGGACAAATCCCAAATTCAAAAAAAAACAATTGCTATTTTTAAAAGACTAAATCAAACCATATCAATATATTATCTATAAGAATATATACTATTTGTTTAAACACAGATTGTTAATAAAGTTTTTGAAATATTAATTTTGGGATATAGGCACAGACAAATTCAAGCTATAGTAATTTGGGATTTGGGCAACAAGTATAAACCCGATGCTTTTTCGCCATACTGCCCCAGGAATTTGGGATTTGGGTGCGAATAAATTCAAACTATATAATTTGAGATTTGGGTGACAACTATAAGCCTGACCCTACCCTGATGCTTTCTGGCCATACCGACCTGGAAATTATTTGGAATTCTTCAGTAAAAAATGGTTTCAAATAATACTGGCTAAACTTTCACAGTACTTCAATAGAAACCAAGTAAATTGTTTTTAGTAAGTTTTTTTTTAAACCTTTAAATTAAAATATCTCAACAATTATTAATCCAAATTTAGTAATTTTTTTTTATAACTACTGTATATAGAGTTAAAACAAAAATATTTTTATCAAGATTGGTTTAAAAGTTGCTAAGATATTTTACTCTAGAATTTAAAAAAATTTACTTAGAAGCAATTTATTTGGTTTTTACTAAATAGTGTTTTTTATATTGTAATATAAATATAATTTATGATTACAAGATATTCTATACAAAAAATAGTTGTCAATTTGGTCAGAAATTATTTTGATTTTTTATTTAGATCTTTTTTTAAAAAAAACTTTTTAATAGCTAAGTTGTTTTAGATTTTTACTTTATTTTTTTTTCTATATATTTTTTATATAGCATTTAATACAAATCTTGCCCTATATACTTTGTATACTACAATATTTGTTTAATTATAAACTGTATAGTTGATATTATTTTTTTAAAAAAATTTTTATTAAAAATTAAATTAATTTTTTTTCGCTTCAGACACCCAACAGTGCCTGTTTACTAGTTATCTAATAATTTAGTTTGAGATCTATTATTATCTAATAATTTAGTTAATAGTTCTTCACAGTTAGTAATTGCTGGACAGTTATATAATCTACGACATGGAACTCGAACAATATGTTTGCAAACTATCTAAATATGTAAACATTTTTTGCCTCTTGTAAGAAAATATTTTATTTTTTTGCAAAAAAGACAGTAACATGATGTAATTATACTTTCTTCTGTTGTTAGTTTATCTCTTAAACCTGGATATAAATACTTTAGATCATAGTTGTAATGCTGCATACAAATAGCTAGTCTTGAAATCTTATTTCCAACATCTTTTATAGCTTGAGAGTCAAATTTCCACATACCTAATAGTTGATTTATACTTCAAACTTCTATATTATTGCATCTTTGAATTATAGTTGATTTATTGCTAACTTTATTATCAATAACAACACATTCTGTAAATTTTGTAGCACATTCTATAATAGAAGGAATTGGCAAGTTAAGTTCCTCTCCAAGTGTTTCTATCTCATTATTATCATTTTCAAATAATTCATCATCCTCAAATAATTCATCTTCTGTTTCTTCAACAAATTTGGTTATTTCTTTTATTTTATTATATGAATGCCAATCAAATGTAAGAGTATCATCATAGGCTATTGTTGTTCAATACTAATATCAAGTTCTGGGTTAAAATTTTCTTCAAGGTTAAATAAAGTTTCATGTGAGAATTCTATTTTTTTTTTTTAATACTATATATAATAAAATAATAACTATAAATATATTAAAAAAGTAGTTTTAACATATTTTCTAATATAGTAATAAACCCAATTTGTGTTTTAGTATTTTAGTGTTCTAGTGTTCTAGTGTTTTAGTGTTCTAGTGTTTTAGTGTTTTAGTGTTTTAGCATTTTAGCATTTTAGTGTTTGTATTTTAGTGTTCTAGTGTTTAGTGTTCTAGTGTTCTATTGTTTTAGTGCTTTAGAGTTCTAATATTTTTTAGCATTCTAGTGTTTTAATATGGTAGATCTACATAGTGCATTACTTACATTCTTGATGTACTTATAAAATAATACCTATAAATACGTCAAAAAAGTTTCTTCAACATATTTTATATATTAGAATACTAGAATGCTAAACACTAAAGTAGTAAAACACTAGAACATGAACACTAGAACACAAACACTAGAACTCTAAAACACTAGAACACTAGAACACTAAAACACTAAAACATTAAAATACTAAAATACTAAAACACTAAAACACTAAAACACAAATACAAATCGGTTTTATTACCATATTAGGAAATATGTTTAAAGCTACTTTTTTGATGTATTTATAGTTATACCAGGAACATAGTACGAAGTAACAAAGTGTATGGTTTACAGGCAACTATCTGTGTTCAAATTCTTGAATCCTATTGAATGGCGTATTCAAATTGTTCATTAGACATCTTGAACGTATATGATCACATATACTGGTTTTGTTTAATGCTATATGAAAGTGTTTCATTTTTATAAAATTGTGGCTATATGCTTATTATAAATTCTGGTACATACGTACGTATGAGCATCTATACCTGTTATATCTTACTACTTTTGGTAATTGATTCAAAGATAAAAAATATATAGTATGATTTGCACTTCATAGATTTTATGCAGATTTAGATCTGCTTATACATGATCCCACTGTTGAACAAGTTTGTTTATTTGCTCTTATTAATTATTTTCAAAAATTTTTCCGCTTGTGATTTTTGATATTCTAAATAATATTTGATCTGTATAAGTATTATAGTTTATACTGTAGATCTTTACTAGCATTATAATTAATCTATATATGTTAATTTATTTTACCGTTGTGTTTATGAAAAAAAATGAAGATCAAGTAAATACAATCGAGTAATTGACTGGTTAATCACAATCCAGAAAACATTAAATAGCTAATTAGAATATATTATGATTACTTAAAGATATTGTAATAAATTTTTGTTTTGATGCATAAAGAGACAAAAAACTTGTCTTATGTGCATTAGGGATGGCAAATGTTTTAAAACATGATCTTAAAAAACATGTTTGTTTGATTTAAAACTATTGAAAATTGTTTTAATACATTATAATGTAATATTATCTGAACATGATCCGAATTGCATAATTTAATCTATAATATTTTTTATGATCAATACTCAAAAATAAATAAATTGATATTCAAAAAATAAATTAAATAAAAAATTTTTAAAAATGTCTTATGTTCGTGAAAAACCCCTCTAAAAGAGATCTGTTTAAACTTTATGAAAGTTGCTAAACCTGATAAACATGGTTGAAAAACACCTTGCCAAAAATGCAATTATTGCGAAGAAGACTGTGTTGATTCAGTTGACCAATTAAAAGACTATCTGGATTCTGGTTCGAATAATGTACAATTAGATAAATCGGATGCGAATAGTATATTATCAAAGTTTTTTAATTCCTTTTACGGCTATTGAAAATCCTTTCTGGAAATAAATTATGAAAGTGATAATATTTACAAGAAGATGTATGTATTTCAAAACTAACAAATGTAAAACTAGTACAGAATAAAAGTTGTATATGCTGATAGGCAATTATGTATTTAAAATCAATGGAAGTTATATTTGCGGATAGGCAAAATTATGCATTTAAACTCTTAAAACGATCAAATACATACATTCTTAAATGTAATAAATTCGAAATTGTATGGCACATTGTTTTTTGAAAATTTCTCTTTAATAATCGAAACTAAAATTAACCAATCAGAACTGATAATTTTAATTTCAGCCAAATTTTAGAATCAGACTCTGATGTTTTAAAAAAAGTTTTAAACAATAAAAAATGTTAAAAAACTGTTTAAACCATTTTTTTACTATCCCTAACATGTATATACTGCAGAATCAAATAGCCTGATTAATTATTAAACTGATCTGGTAATATTCTCATTGATGATGAATATATTATACTGTTGTACCATTATTAATATTGTTATAGAACGAATTAATTATTAGTTTATTATTTTATTTTTTATTATTTATTATTTATTAGTTATTATCTTAGAATATTATTATTATTATCTTGTATTATTATTAACATGTCGCTTAGTCGCTCAGTCACTTAGTCGCTTAGTCACTTAGTCGCTTAGTTGCTTAGTCGCTCAGTCGCTTAGTCACTTAGTCGCTTAACTATATAGTCCTTAGTTGCTTAGTTGCTTAGTCGCTCAGTCGCTTAGTCGTTTAGCTCACAGATATATAAACCCCACCAATTTCCCCAAGTTAGAATAAGCAACAGACACCCCTTCCCCCTTATTCTTATAAACAATATTTAGGATTCTTTAGAGATAGATACCTAAGGATAGCCTTGTATTCTTTATATTTAATAAACGACTCTT